CTTATCTCGACTCACTTTGCGAGGATTCCATACTTCCGTGAGTCTGCACTCCTTTTGCTCTTTGGACAAGGCGCGCATGGTAACAAGACGGTTTTTAGGGTTTGGGGTTGTCTTCTGATTTTGCTTCACATGAGCTAGAGAGTTTCAGAGACCGCTTTCAGGACCTGAAGTATGGTTCGAGGTGCTGCGTTGCAATGAATATTCCCATGTTGTTCAGCTTCAGCAAGCTTGTCTGCTCAGGTCTTAGGGGTTTGGAGTGTATTTTGTTCTTTCCTAAGGCTTCCTTCTTCTAATGTTGTGGCCCGAATTTTCTTATATCGTCTTGTAGACATTTGTTTCCGTCCCATCTCCCGAGCCTGAAAAGTCGTGATATCCTAAACCCCAAATTCCTCAACCCCAAATCCAAACGTCTTAAACAGTAGATTAGAAGATCCCGACCCCCGGCCCTTGCAGCCCTAAACCCAAGACCTAACATCCGAACCCGAAAATCCTAAACCCTAAAGCCCGAAAACCTAAGCCCTAAAACCCTAAAACCCTAAGCTCCGAAGTTTTGTTGTTTTCTCCTCGCCAGCCGTGCAGGGAAGAGCGGCCGCGAGGCTGAGCGCTTCTTGGAGCCGCTTCCTATAGGCCGGAAAGGGGAATGCGGGGCAGTGGCTTACGGGTTTTGGAGTTTAGGGTTTGGATGGTTAGGGGATTTATGCTTTGCTCAAAGTTTGAGACCTTTTGCTCCTTTCTACGAGCATGCATGGGCCAGAGACTCCGACCGCTACCCCAGCAAAGCTTGCGATGCGCAAGCAACTGAGGCTGTTGAATTTTTTTGAGGGAGGAATGTGTTTTGCGTTGTGGCCGTTTGGAGGCAGGCATTTTGAATCAAGAACGATCAGAAACTCCACCAAGATGCGCGTTCGATAGATAGTGGTGCCTCAGAGCAGATTTTATGGTGTTTCCTCTTCCCGGCCGTGCAGGTATTTATTTCGTCCCCACACGGGATGTGTGCATAAGCGCTCAACCGTCACAAGCAACGCTTGTTATACGATTTGTTGACCCTTGCCCGAAACCCGATTGTAGCTCCCGTAAGCTCCAACAGAACTCAGGTAGTCATTACCCAGCCCCAAAACATTTTTTTTGCGGGGTACGGAGCTGTTGAGGGACGATTGAGGCTGTTGGGGGCTGATCATAACTAAGTAACAGAAAGTGAGGGCTCCCTGCTCTGCTTGCTGAAGGTTGCGGCTTGCTTTTTTGATAGAGTATGTCATGAACGCTATTGTCAATTGTATTTGGCTGAGTATGCTACTGACCCCACTTCCAAAAGGACATGTTACCCGTGAAGGGGGTGCTCAGAGCAGGTCTGGCCTGGGACTACCAAGGCCACGTCACACTGCCTTGCTGTGACCGGATTGCAAGTATGCTGTGCTAAGTGAAGGTGCTACACGATTTGAGTCTGCAGGGCTATGTGGGCTAGGTTCCAAGCAAAACTGTTCCGCATTGGCTTTGGGGCAGGAAGCTGGTACTTCACAGTTTACACCCGATGTTCCTCACCTCACCCTCCGACCAAAGCCATCCCCAAACAAACATGAGACTCCATGACTTTAGCCTCCCTGTACAAAGACAGTAGTCTTGATAGGGCCGCTTTTGGGGATTCCATTTTTGGTTAACTACCATGCATCAAATCCCAAACTAAAAGCCTAAACCCACCATCCTAATCCCCAAGCCCCAAACCGCAGCACCTCAACCCCGCCAAATCCCAAGCTGGTTTTGCTCCACAGCCAGCCGAGGTTGCTGCCTGACGCTTTTCATCATGTCGCCATCCATGTGGTGGACACAGGCTTACCTCTGCTCCCTGCCTTGTAAGATTCAGGGTCTAGGGTATAGGGTGTAGGGTGCAGGCTTTGTGGTTTAGCGCTAGGGGGCTTAGGATTTGGTGGTTTTCGGATCTACGCTTGAGGGTCTAGAGCTGACCGACGGGAATCATGCTTTGGCAGATTTAGGGTTTGAGGTTTACGGTTTCTTTTAGAATTTGTGGCAGGTCCTCCTTGCTAGGGCATGCCGGAAAGATTCTTGCCTCTTGCTGGCTGGGAATTAGAGAGGACCGGACCTCAAACCGTAGCATTTTCTTGATGGTTGTTGGTAGGGAATGAAGAAATGCAGATGGGGAGCACAGAGGGGCGACTATCTACATGGATTCATTCTTCCATTTCCTTTTAAAAGCAAATAATTTTTGAGGTCATCCTTGGCAAGGTTAAGCTTGTATAGGAGGAGAGGGCTGTTCGGAGGGCCGCGGCTTCCCAAAGCACGCAAAAATTGAATGTCAGACGAAGACGGGATGATCTCTGTCCCTTTCTAGGGGCTTCTGAAGTATCGATATGTCTACATGAGACTGCTTCCAGGGGTAGCTGTACCCCAGGCCATCGCGTCAGGACCCGATGTGGATCCCGAGCCCGACATCACCTCTCGGTTCGTAGATACCTTCGGCGGCCCTAGTATCTGGGGGTCAGAAACGAGTACAACTCATATTCGGGGCTTCAGATTTATTTGGATTTCTTGATTTCTACAGCCTGGGCGTTGCACTGAAATGGCACCGACAAACTCAGGTGTCTGGGCGTTCTTCTTCTACTTCTTCCAGCGCTTCATGCACCTCCGCGTCTGCAAAAAGATGCAGCCTGCCAGCAATTAGCACGTGGAGGTGCGCTTAGAGAGTATTTGAAGACTTCATAGACGCCGTGTTGAGGGCAAGCCGCCCCTCTCACGTGGGCGCAAAGCACACCAAGAATTAGAAGTTGGGAGGATGTGAAGCCGGACTATTCAACATCAAAAAACGTGCGTAAGCAACGAGGATAGAAGGAATTTTCCACAACAGGGGTGTGACAGAGATTTTGGGAACAGCCTTCCTGAGAAATTTATGTATTCACTTTTCTTGTGTGAATCAGCTATTCAATCCTTGCGTCTAGGGCGTTCGCAGCCCATCATCTGAGGTACTGCACCTCCAACAAGCTGGACGATGATTTGATTTGTTTAAGGGTTCGGCTTGGGAAGGAGGTCTTCAGAGTTTAGGGTTTTGGGGGCGGGTGCGGGTTATGGGGTTTAGGGGGTTTCGCGTTTAGGGTGCTTGCTGTTCAAAGACTAGGGCTGCATCAGGGGGAGTCCTGAGAGCAAAAAAAGATCAGTGTGGAGTCCTTTGGAATTTTCATCAAACCTTCTAAGCATTTAGGGCATCATGTTATGAGCATGCAGGTGCGCCAGCAAGCCTCATCACGTTCAGCATCATGGAATTGCGCCTATGGCTGCTACAGAATGCTTCTGTATAGGCATGGTGATGAAAATCACAGGTTTGAGAATGCAGAGTGAACTTTAGAATTGCAATTTTCCACGGGGTATAGATTCCCTGCACTATCGGGAGATCACGAAGCTCACTGGCTATGCAGGCTGTGTACCATCGGACAATCAAGGGAGGCAAGTGCTTCTCATGATCGAAGGATACTGGGCACTCGTGCAGGATTGACCCTGGCAAACTCCCCATGTGAGGATTTTTTGCAGGACACTGCCTCACTTCAAAGGCTGACCCGAAACCTTAATGTCCTTCCTAGTCAAAGCCTTAGGTGATCGCTGCCGCAAGTGGGATCGGTCAGGTAATACGCCCCGCGAGTCCCATTACTGAACCTATATGAAGCGTATTTGGGAGCAGGCTGCGCGCATCACACAATTTGACAGAAGGAGTGCAGACAACCGAATATCTTCAATCTTCAAAATCTAAACCCTGAGCCCTTGCGCACCCCTAAATCCTGAGCGCGTAAATCCTCATTCAAATCTTCATCCCCAAACTTCGCAGACCTAAAAACAGAAGCCAACCTTGCAGGACAGCATGGTGCTCTACTTCGGTTGGGGCCTGCTTCTGGCCGAACTGGTGACTCGGGTCTTGACACGGAACAGAGTTTGGGGCTTGCAGACTAGGATATGGGAATTAGTGGCCTTCGGAAACAAGTGACCCTGTGGTAGGACGTTGTGGGAAGGAAGGTTGTAAGGCTCTCGCTTTGTTGAGGTCGGGGGGGTTTGATCCCTTAAGGTTGGAGTTTAGGACTTGGGCTCCATGACGCGCTGCTGTGGAGTTCTGCCTTGGCTCTGCATGGGGACCTGTCAAGACTAGGAGTCCTGTTTTGGGGGATCTTCTGCCGCAAGCAAGATGAGAATCCAAGTTTGGGCGCCATGCCTGCACTTGCAGCCAGTCCGCTTGCAAGTGCAGTTGCCACAAGAGGCACAACAACTTCTCCCTGTGCAGATGCAATGCGGGTTGTTCTTGCAAGGAGAACGACAGAAAAGCTACCACGACTCTTTCTTGCCTTTAACTTTTCAAAAGGTTTTCAAGGGGCCGCCGTCAGCCCGACAAAGACAGAAAGCAAAGATGTGATGCAGGTTTTGGTGAGTGTATGTGGAATTCCTATGGAAGTTGGGTGAGTGCATGTATGGGAATGTATGTATGGAGTGTTTTCGTGGGCTGGTGCACGGACAAGAACCCTACTTTGCAACCCTACCCTACTTCAGACCTAGATCATGGCAGCGGTACTTGCAATAGTGACAATACCAAATGTAACAAGAACATCGCCCGTCAGAGATTCATCAGAAGCGAGGCCGGCCTGTAAGCAAAACCCAGGCTGCTTGCCACGCGTACTGGCGAGCCCGTTTGCAAGAGTGGTCGCTCGACTCCAGACTGAAGCTGCAAGTGAAGATGATGACACAGAGGCTGGTCAATCCATGTCGGAAGGGTTAACGATGTGAAGTCAGGTTCCACTTCTCCGTGACATAACAGTGCAAGGAGTAAGTGCTGTGATCTCGATGGTCTCAACTCACGCATAGCAGAGCTTCGTTGTGATAGCATTGCAGCCATGAGATCAAAGCAGCGGCCACATTTTTTGGTTGGCGGCATTCGCAACTCAAACATAGGGTCTTGGGCTTTAGAGCGGGTGTCATTCATTCCCTGACTCAGATTGACAGTTGTTGGTTCATCAATGGGCGTGAGCAAGCCATCATATACGCGCCTTGAAATAAGGAACATGCCCCGCACATTTACGCTGTTCAGTTGGAGGCCTTAGTCGCAGCCCAGGCAGTGGATATCCATCTTGAAAGCGGTGGCTGCTTCCTATGTGGCGCCCTCAGCTGATCTGTTCGGATTTGCTGAGTCACTGAGCCATCACGGAGTACTGTTACAACAAACCCACCACCATCAGCATCCTACACCCTGATTAACAATGCTTACCAAGCCCCTGAACCCTCAAAAACCATTCAACAGGCCGTCTACTGGTCCTTGCTGTGGGTCCTGGGCGTTCCATGGCCACTGCGTTTTCGGGGCGAGCTAGACGCAAAGCGGCAGAAGAATGTCCCCCACAGGTTTACGGCTAAGGTCTAGAAGGCTCAACAAGGCTGAACGTTGAGAGCTCCGTGGGTTCATGGTACCTAGAAGTTGCTGTTGACTAGGCATGATGTGCCATGCTGGTAAGTTGCTTTCATCAGTTGCGTCTCAGCGTCCTTTGTAAGATGGAGGAAGAGAGGTTCCCTTTTCCAGCTCAGTAGTATCGAGGCTGTTGCTGGTTATTGACGGAGGACGTCGGGAGAACCCCTAAACCCTGAAGTCTTCCCTAACTAATCCCGACAGGAAGTATAGCTTTGGAGCCGGAGGTTTGGGATTCCATGCCTGGCACCAAAGAGACTATAGAGGGTAAGCCCTAAGCCTCCAAACCCTAAATGCTAAACAGTACCTTCGAGTCTCCCAGACCTAGGATGGCTTGGAACGAACACGGGAGAGATCTGACGACGTGGCTCGGCAAGCCTATGACCAGAAGCTCGAAACATCGGGGTGCGTTTGGGGGTAGTGGGACGTTTAAGTTTGCACCTCAAGGTTTTGGGATGTGGGGCGGGAGTTTAGGTCGTCAATCTGAAAGGCTCTGTGGTCCTTGCCCCCATAAACAATCCAATGTAATGTTCTTGGGTAGTAGAGTATAATGCCCAACCATGAAATTCCTCAGCAAATCCCAAAACAAACAAAGCCTCCGGACTTAGCATCCCTAAGCCCCTCGTGCATCCATTGGGTCCCTGCAGGCATCGAGCTTTAAAGTCAGGATCATCAGGGGGGACTTCAGGGCTAAGATTGCGGTGCCTAGGTTTGGGGATTTGGGGTGCAGGCCTTCCCTTTCCCACACGCTAAAAGCGGAGCTTGGGGTGCCATTGTTTGCATACACTCCCTTTGTCCCACTTTTTGTTATCCTTCCCAGCCTGACGTGCAAGCCCTCATAAGGAGCCCAAGAAATGCTGTTGTGCTTTGCATAGAGGGCCTTGATTGGTTTCCATGTCAGTTTAATTGAGGTCCAGCTTTCTTTTCACTGGCAGAATCCGGATGTTTCTTTTATCGTCACCAGATTCTCCTGAGGTGCTACAGGATCTCCCCATTTAGAGGAATTTCATAACAACTCCATAGAGCGCCGCCGCCAAAGCAAGGACCGATGCCAAAGTTGCGAGGACTTCTGCTACAACTGGCTCAACGTGAACCCAGTGTATGTTGCTGGTCTGAGTGTGTACAGGACTGGTCCCGTCTCGGGAAGGGTTATATGTGGTTTTCATCTTGAAGGGATGATGCACATTCCCATGAAGAAGGTCTCATGGCTGAAGTACACTGCGTGATAGTAGTGTGGCGCTACCGTTGCCAGAGTGCTTGATCATACTACACAGAATGCAAATGCTGATTACAAAGTTTTGCGCCCATGTCTGATACTGAGATGAAGATTGAGTACCACGCCGCATCTGCAGTTAGCTGGAAAGGATCTGCATGTTTTGGACTTTCAGTATAGCTCCGATCCGACACACCAAAGCCTATACCTAGGCCATGGAAGCCTCAGTAAGGCAAGGTGTACAGGCACCTTACATTCCATACATAGTTCCACCTGCAAGGGGTTCTAGATTTCATCCCAGAGCCCGTAGCAGGAGCTTCTCGCAAGATTCCACTACGCTACTAAATCCAGAAGCCTGAACCCCAACCCCTCAAGAACCCTCTCATATGTTGAAGCGTCAAACCCGGAAGCCTGTAAATCCTACACTGCCCCCACTTTTTCAAAGAACACCTCCCAGGTTCTGAAGAGTCAGTACTGTTCAAGCGACTTTGGCTTGGACCCGTGCGTGTTCTACGAGCCTGGTCCCTTGCCTTTGAATGGCTTATGTACAGAGATATACTATAATATAGAAGAATCCAAATGGAACAGATCCTCGACATGACATGGAAACCACTTCTTGTTAAGGTTTAGGGGGTTGGAGGTTTAGGGCTGCAGGGTTTAGCGTTTGGGTTATGGAGGTTACATTTTTCGGGATTGGGGGATTATGGCTTAGAGGGCTTCACGTCTGAGGCTCAGGGGATCAGAGCTAGACACTGGTTCTTAGGTGCCGGCAAGGGACGCATGTTTGATTTGTAAATACATTCTAGCATGTCAAAGACTATCGTCGTGTTCCTGTCCAGAGACCCAACAAAACTCCGAGTGATGTAATGGATTGAGCAACTTCCTCAAAGAGGGAAACCTCAGGCGGATGCGGGGCAGAAGGAAGTTGTATAGGGGTTGGTTCCAGAACCCCCCATTCACCATCATTTCCGTCCATTGCTAAGGTCCAAACTGGCGGTGACCGCCTTTGGGGGGACTTAGGTAGATCAGGAGTGCCGATGTTTGGTACGTGTCATGGTCTCTAGTTGTTATAGGGTACCAGTTAAGAGCTGTGCATGTTTGGGATTATCGGGATTTCAGAGACAAGGAGGAAGCACGAAACGCATCAACAACCAACAGGTAGACTCCATACAGCCGCTGCGTGTGCGCTCAGAACGTCCCAGCCAGTTGATTTCAATCAGGCTGCTGGATTGCGCAGCATAACCTTACATGCTGGCAGCAAGGGATGCAGTAATGCTCAGCTCAAAACACCTGACAATCATGCTCCCCGCGCTGAGTGTTCCTGCAACTACAGCGTCAGTTTTGCAGTCTGTGTTGCGAACTCTTTTCTCCCCGCATCACTGCCAAGGAAAGGAGCCGCGCGGCTGCAGAGATTGTGAGATACGCGCTCCTTTAGGCTTTCAGGTCCTGGAGCGCAAGGGTTTAAGGTCTTGTAGCTCAGGGTTCAGAGTGGTTCCGTTCCGGGGCAGAGGGATTTCAAGGTTTTCGAAGTTTACTTGTTACAACTTCTGTCAGGAATGAAATATGTGAGCTCATAAAGCTGGTGATGGTCCATGATGTGGGGGAGGCCCCTAAGGATTTTTCCCCAAAAGAACTTTTGAAGATGTTCTTAACTTGTGGGTCTTAGGGGATTGCAGGTCAGAGCAGGCTGAACAAAAAGAGATTTCAATGTATTCCCAAAAATTCTCAGGACGTGCTTGTATGAGAGCTTCAAAGCACAGGGTTTCCGAGTTAAGGTCCCCATGCGGTGAATAATGCAGGAGATCTTGTGTCAAAAGACTGCGAATAATGGGGATCACCGTGAATTGGGAATTGCTGTGATGAAGGAGTACTTGCATCATCCTCACATCAGTCCTCCCATGCAGTGAGTCTTGTTGGTATTTGGAAGCCCCAAATTGACTCGTGACCCGAGCGAGTTCCCCATAGAGACGAGTTCTATGGGCTTACGTATGAGTTTGGGGGAGTGGAGGCCCTGGCTCCCTGAAAGATGCTCCTGACAAGGGTTGCCAAGAGGTCCCCTGAACCACACGTGGGTTTAGGGTTTGGGATGGGGTAAGGAGCATTGAAATCCGGAAGGATTTGCTACTCAGCGCAACAAAGATCGTGGTTTCCAGCTGCAGGACTCTGACGCTTGCTGGCAGCATCCAGCCCTAAATGCAAGAAGCTCAACCATTTAAACCCCTGCGAGGTGCAGAGATAACATTGAGGGGAGGGGGTGGCGCTTCGGGCTGAAAGGCATTCATTTCTCAACCCATTGCTCTAAACCCTAAAAACGGAACTCTACACCCCACGCAACCTGAGAGACTTGAATCCCAGGTATCTACAGCTTGCTCCTGGTGACGAGGTCCCTGGAATGACTATCGAGGGAGTATGTAGATTGTCTGCAGATAGCATCACAGGAGCACAGCGCATCTTGGACTGCCTAACTTCGAAATCTAAACTGGGAAAGGTGCACCTGGCCTGAAGAACTTCAACGCAAAGTTCTGACCTGCAGATCTTTGGGAGAGCTTAGGGCTAGGTAGCAGAATGCTCACTCCACAACCACGTCAGAGCCTTTCGTCTCTTACATCTTCAAGGCCCCAATGGGCTCCTAGGTAGTTGTCAACATCTTGGTTGTTTGTATGTGAGCCAGCACATGTTGATGGAGTTTCGCAAACTCCGAAGGCGGTCGGCGATCTTGTTAAGCAAAACTATTATTTCTACGATTACGAGTACTATTATTACACCAGTGCCGTTCTTCATTCAGAGCCTTGGGTAGGGCGACCTCCATGCCGCCCAGAGCCAGCGATGGAAGAAGGCCAGTGTAGGCGGGCGCAGACCTGGACCCAAGATATAGGGACTTCAGCCTTTTAAACCGTAGGACAGTTTACTGCCAGGCCACAAAGGGCTAAGTCCACGATTCCCGGGTAGATTGAGGATTGGGCTTCAGGAGTCAGGAGTGGGCCATTATCGTTTAAGAGTTCAAGTTTCAGGTTTCAGGATTGGAGTTGGGAATTGAGTAGAGTTAAGGAATTTCAGGTTTGGGGGCTTTCGGTTGAAGAACTGCGGGGTGGGATTCTGTGATGTTTGAAAATTCCTTCATGAGTGTGAGGAATGGAGTGTTGTGTTCGGGGATTTTTTGTTGAGGTGCTCGGGCTGGTGGGTAGATTTCAGGACTTAGGGTTTCGCTCTATAAGGTTCGGGGAGCATGTTCTGTTTGGATCGAGGATCTAATAAGAGGGAAATCGGTTCATGGTTTGGTGTTGCGTTTAGGATTAGGGCTGCGCCCAGTCATCCAGGTTCTAAATCAGAATCACAAGCCTTTAGAAACCAGATGATAGGGACCTGCCAGGACATTTAGCCTGAGGGCGGAGGGTCTTGACACAGGAATGTGTTTTTCGCTAGTTGCTTGGAACATTAAGGGATTTATTCATAGCGTGCCTCCGGAAAACAAGCACATAAGATGTAATGTATTGGGAAATCTGAAGAAGTCGCGTATTTGAGACCACTGCATGGACACGGGAGCCCCTCACATAATTCCTGTTGAGTCTTAAGGACCCCTTACAATCCCTGTTCTCAGGCCCAGAATCCCCCATCATCTTCTCGAAAAAAGGGCATACTGCAAGATCCGAAGCACTTTGCAGTCAATGCCATAGCTCCTGCAGTTAGTATGCTAGAATGCAATCATTCGCAGGATGTAGGGTCATGCAGGTCTTCTGGCATCAACAGCTTGCCCTGAGCCCGAAACTCTGGGTGCCTTAAAGTCAAGACTTGGCTTGAAAACTCCCACCGTGTTGTACAAACCTTGCAATCCTAGTCCAGACGCGGTCCCCGGTATTCTCAAGAGCTCTGAAGGCTTGTGGCTGGAGTTTGAAGGCCTTGGATGCATCGCTCCCATCTGTTTCGATGAGGCCAGAGGATTCGACAAATCTTCTCAAATCATGTAGAGGAAAGGGGGAAGGGCTACAGAGCAGGGCTCGTGGTTTAAATCAAGGTTTGGGGTTCAGGGTTTCGGGATTGGGCTTCCGGGGTTCCTTCCATGTTTTGAAGATACCCTGGTGGGCTTGGATGTGAGGTTCATGATTCTGGGGTTCAAGATTTGAGGTTCCAGGCCTGCACCTTGAAACAGACATGGCCTGAGTGAATTGCTGTTCTCCGCATGCTTCTCATTACGTTTGAGTAGTACTGTGAGGCTTTGAGGGTTTGTGTTTTCATGCTTGCTCAGTCATTCTGCCTTGTGCTGCTGGCCTTCCTCTGCGCTTTTACATACAAGAGCGTACTAATTTGAAATATGCTCATGTCATGCCTCTCATGTGTCACCTCTCTTTGTGACCATGACCTTCCACCATCTTTACAACATTTGAAGATGGACACTGTGGGCGGAATCCTTTTGTTGCAGGTGTGCACAGAGATCAATAGCCTCTTGGTGGGATCTGCAAGTTTTGCATTTGAAGTTTCGGGCTTCGGCTTAGGGGATACGAAGGACCCTGTGCAGGGTTTGTCTAGGATGAAGGCTTGTTTAGGGGCTTAGTGTTCGGGATTCGTGTTTTAAGATTTGGGATGTAGGTTTTGGACTGCGCGCAGCCAAAACTGACAAGGAGTTGAAATGGCAATCTCCAAAGGGCAGGATCAAAAAGGGCTGATGGTACCAGAAAACAACATGAATCTTCAAATGCCCAAAGCAGGAGGGCCCAGGTCCAGGTTTGAAGGTCCAGGGTTTACGATTTCCGGCGCATCCCCTAATCTTGACCCCTTAGCCCAAAACCCCAACCTCTTTGTGCAAGCAGAATGCCACAGCAGAAGGTGATGACCATACTGACAGTAGGCATGACAACAAAAAGTGGAGCGACAACTACGATGGCAGTGTCCATAAAGCTACCTAGGCTGACAAAGCACAAAGATTATATACGTCAAGCAGGATAGGGCTCTAGGCACATTCCACAAAGATCTAGTCTTAAGTGGCTCTAAATGTTGAACGTTGTCCGATCACAGGCAGATGAGCAGAAGGCGCACTTAATCTGAGCTGTAATTCTTATCTACTTGAGCAGCCTTCAAGGATTTTCAGAATGCAGCCTTCCAGGCTACATGCAATTTCTTTGTAGAAGGGTCTTCAAGGCTTCATGCATGCGTCCTCAGTCAGACCTCCACAGCGCCGTGCCCACTGCGCTTGCGCTGTGCCCCCCTGCCCACAGTTGCGTTTTTCTCAAAAGCAACTCATCCATGTATTGTCCCCCACTAGGCCACCATGATTTCAGAAACGCAGTTGCAAGCAAGGTCCGTCGCAGTCGGACTCAAGACGTCGGCTGCTGCAGAATCGTCCTCCTGACTCGCCATTGGTCAGCGAGGCGTTGCGCAGTGGCCTTTTGCTTTGACTTGCTACTGCTCCGCGTGTGCTTCCTCTCGTTCCTTTCATTCCTGTTTTTGGGGTTCCTACTGTACCAAACAAGCTGCCACGGTTTGCAGATTGATTGTTCTCATATTTCTCTGCCAGCGGGCTTCGTCCTGCATGAACTAGTACTACTTCTCCCATCCTCACTCCCCGCCTTCTCCTCTTGCAGGGGTATAGCGCGCGTGCCTAAACCTTAAGCCCGGCAACCGTTGACCCCCCAAGCCCCTAAACCTGTAAACCCCTAAACCTGAAACCCCTCCCCCTCCAACACTCCAAAATCCTCACATCAGGCTGATCGCAGCATCGCAGCAGGCGGCAGCGAGGAGACTCCAACTCCGTCTTTAAAAAATCCGGGATATCTAGGACCTAGGCTATATGGACATGTTGCGGGTTCTATAGACGGATCTACAAAGAGTTGTAAAGGATGCATGGTCTAGGGCTTCCCAAAGTTCGGGATCCTCTTGTTGGGGAGTCTTACATTATGGCTTGTTGCATTTTTGGTGGGTGGTAGATATCGGGGACCCGCATATGCTTCAACATATCCAACAGGCGGGGGGGACTAGGCGCTCTCAGTACGGACTGGGGTTTACGGAATAGCTGTTGCGGTGTAGGGAGTGGTTTTTGGAGTTGAGGGGCAATGTTACCGGGGTTCAAGTTCGGGCTTCAGGCAGGCGTTTGAAGTCGGGAGGGGCTCGCTAAAACTAAGATTTACCGAAGCGCGGTGCGTGTTTTGGGTTTCAGGGTTGTCCGCGTGCTCTTGGCTCCAGAATAGTCTAGGACTTCATGGAGGTCGCAGATCAGTAAGCCTGAGACTTCCGGACCCCTTCTGGAAAGATATGGGATCCAGCATACGCTTTTGTTTTACTCAGGGAGCCAACTGATCCAACAGCTCGATGCTGAAACTCACACCTATATCCCTTGAGCGCAAGGCCTTGGAAAAATCCTCATGGGACTCCTGCGCTTCCGCGTTCATGCTTTCACAATATGATGAACTGCCATTTCTGACCCGGAGATGGTCCCTAGATGACTTGTGGCACCGCCTGCCCCTAGGCCAAAAACGGGCGGGGCCAACTTGCAGTTGAAGTGGCCGTTGTTCGTCCTAGGAAAGGCCACCATCATCCTCTTGCAACTTTGCCCACAGTCTGAAACGTCCCCACATGCCATAGCGGCACCAGGTAATTAACCTTAATTTTTCGATGCTCTCCTTGACGTTCCCCCAAGAATTAGCCCTACCCGAATCTTAAAACCGAATCTTAAAACCTCATGCAGGGCCGCCTCAAACACATCCCTGTCCAATTAGACGGCAATACCTGTAAATGTATAAGCTCTAAAGCAAGATTAGCAATTGTCGCCAAATAAGCCTGAGAAAACCCCACAAGCTTCTAGTCTCGGTCACGCCTTGAGTGCTGGACCTTTGTCCCTTCATAGAGGTATTAGCTCCGAAAGAGACAGAGGACAACTCATCAGGGGATCTATGTAAAGCCTCATCATCTGCTTCATGGTCCGATACAAGCCCTGCAGAACGCTGCAGAATCCTGGTAAAGGGGGCTTCAAGACTAAAGTCTCCATTGCAGTACTTCGACTGAACAAATATGGGGCCTGCTAAAAGCGAGGATCGTCCACAGTCCCAGCCTAGTGCCTTTGCAGCCAACAGGGGATGAAGAGGGTCTTGCAGGGTTTGACACTGATTTGTTGGATGGTTGATTGAGTATAGGGGGTTTAGGGGCTTTCGTGTGTTCCAAAATGTATGAAGTTTTTGTAGAGGCTTTGCTATTCGAGGTTCACCACGTGTTTCTTGCCCCCCTCTTTAGGTTCAAGGCTTGTGGCTTTCTGGTTGAGGGTTTGGGTTGTTGGCATTTGAAGCACTAGGTTTGAAGGGATAGGGGCTTCGCATTCAGAGTTTCAGGCTTTTCTTGTGGTCCTTCATTGGATCTTGGCAGGTTGGAGGGGGAGCACGCCCGAGTAGCTATAGCGGCTATACGTACCCCTGATGAGGCACCTGAAACTTCTCAACCCCGAAGGCTTGTCTGAACGAGTGCAAAAGCTCTAAGTCTTCAACCCGTATGGGCTGATGAGCTACGAGTCCGTCTGAGCCTCGGCTCCGTTAATGCCTTCGCAGCAGACTACAGTCTGAAAACTGACAGTCCTGACGCAAACCCTTCCAGGTCAGCCAGGACCCTCCAACCTCAAACACTACATACACCCTCAACTCTCCTTCAACTCCATAAAGACCACATAAACCCCTACAGATCTCTTGGGAGGTTCCTCAGCTTCGCCAGCAGATCCCCGGCCCGGCAGGGGCCTGTCGGCGTGCGAGGCGGAGCGGTTTTGGCTTCTCGGGGTTTTGGGCTTTTTGGGTCTGTCTTACGATTGTGGGCTTGCGGTGGAGGATCTTGTTGCGGTGTGTGTTAGGGTATTGGGGTGTCTGCATTGTATGCTTACGTTTTGGGATCTAAGTTTGATGTGTAATGCTCTCGTGCGGGGAGTACTGGACTGGTGGAGGGGAACTCCTGAATGATGGCACTAGCAATCGGGGAATCAACAAAGACACTGGGAATCAAGCATCAGGGTCCACCAACCAACCCTGAAGAGTTCCGAAGAATGTATCAGTAACAACTGGTGGACACACCAAAATCCTAGGAACCGTTTTAGGTTGGAGTGCTGGAGCAAGACAGGGCCCTTGAACTACTCAAGCCGCAACCCTCGGAAACATGAATCTCTGAAGTCCCAACCTAGAAGAAGGCCGGATTATAGCTTGTTGAGAGGGAAGTCAGGAAATACGGGCATGTAGTGTGAGAGGTAGCTTGCAAATTGAGTATTTCTCACAACAAACAGCTAGACCTCATCAACAAAAGTTCGTAGATAGGCTTCGTGACTCGTGATCTCCAAAGGAACTGGTGAATCCCTAATCCCCCTGAAGCCTCGAGGCCAGATCCTTAAATGCAATGCCATGCTATACACCGCAGCTGCAAGGTCTTCCCCTGATCCCTAAATCCCAACACCTGAAACGAAATCGAGAGGTGAGGTCCAGCATGCATTCAGATCCAGCAGAGGGAGCAGCAGAGGCAGCTCTTTCAGGAATCCCTCCCCCAAGCGAAGATAGTAGCCCTCAAAGGAGCAGGAAAGGCTTCTTACTGTCCTTTTTGACGGGTGTCATGGTTGTTTGGGGGAGGGTTATCCCTTCCCCCTACCCAAATGATCATCTGGTCTACCGTTCCGGTCGCAGGTCTGGGGTGTAGGATCTGAGATAGTGGCTGCACATCTATGATTGGGGCTTCTTGGGATTGAGGTCGAGATTGCCGGTTGGATTATGGGGAGGAGTTTGGACACTTGAGGGTGTCTCATGATGGTGAAGACTCTGCATTTCTCATTTATCACGCGTATCAAGTACGGGTTCTCGCTGGGATTCGCTGGGCTCAGAGGGCGTGGCACTGACAAGCGAGGAGTGGAAATGGAAGAGTGGATGCATTCACGTTTACATTTTGCGGCTAACAGGTCAAAACCCAGAATTCGCGTGCTGGCCGGTCTATAGGCTTGGAACCTAGGCTTGCAGCTCAAGAGCTTGAGTGTTGAGCTTTGCACTCCTCAAGGTCCATTGTTTGAGCAAGAAGGAGCGCGCCTTGCAATCCACAACTAATTGAGGCCAAAGGCCTGAGACCTTACCCGCCTTGATCTTTCAGCTCCGACGGATGCAAAACGTCGCGCACGTGTTAGCCCTTGAGCTGCGAATCATCGAGACTGCACCTCAAGCCAACCCAAACCCCCAAAATCCTCAACCCACAAAAGCTTCGCACCCTGAACCCCAACGTTTTCAGTTGCAAGCCTCAAAACTGGAAGTCCTGGACATACAACCCCATACCCTAAGCCTGGATAGTGGGGTGGGACTTCAGCATGGTTGGGCTCATACGGGTTCCCAGGGTGTTGTGGCAAGGGACCTTTTCTTCATTTTCCTGCCCCGAACCCTCAACCCTATAAGCCCGTATGCCCAACCCGGTAATCTTTGAACCTAGACTGAGAATTTTGAAATAGACAAAGTCTCAGGTGGACAGGAGAGTGGTTGCCACACCTCGGATGCAGCAGCAGGGCATCTTGGATGAACTCCTGGACATTGCGGGTTTGGAGATGAGGAAATTCGGGTCGATGGGTTCAGTGTATAGTTTTTCAGTTTAGGGGATTAGGGGTTAAAACTGTTCCATAAGGATGGTGGTTTAGGCCGGTCTAGGGCTCAAGGTTTAGGGCTGAAGGTTCCGGTGCAAAGTGTCATGTTGAGGTTTTAGGTTTAGGGTTCATGGGACCATGGGTGTTTCCTAAAATTGCAGAGGCCTTGGGTGGTTGGTCTACATGACAAAGATATGCTTGTTTTTGGTTGTAGGTCTCGAAGCCGCGCGTGCAATGCGCAGCCCCAACCCAGGAGACACACATCAGCGTCAACCCTGAAACCTCAAGCTGTAGATAGCTAGAGACCTTAAGCCCTTGAAAATGTTTAAGCTCTCAGACGCCAGGCCCCGCAGATGCAGAAGACACAGATCTGCTGCGGGCATATGCTCCAATGCAGACGAGCGAGCCTGCGATGTCGGAGCGGCAAGATGCTGCCACCGAGGCTCGAGGTTTGGGGTCTAGGGCTTAAGGTTCAGGGTTTTTGGGGGCCAGGTTTAGGGTAGGGGCTAGAGTCTAGGATTTGTGGCTTAGGGCTTAAGGGCACGACGAATTTTGGCCAGGGTTGGCTTGTGTTTCGACGTAGTGCACATCACTTGCCTCAAGAAAGAGGTTGGATAGGAGGATGCCTAACTTTGTGACCAAGAACCGATGTCCTTGTGGGACACACAATTCATCCTGACTAGTACGTTTGACAGTCCCCGCCTTTTCTATGACTCAGCTACGTATTCAGGCCGCGGCCATCATAAATATCACAGAACATTGAACAAGGCGAAGGTTCTGGGCGGCGGTCTTGTGGATCACATGCTGCACGCCACATGCATGTTGCTGAAACCTGCCAGCATAGACACTGCGCTCAAACCCTGAGTTCGGCCATGCAAGATCTTGGGAAGCTGCGTAGAGAATCATCAACACACCTTCTGACAAGGCGGCTGAAGATGTTCGGCCAAGCTCCTCGAACCAGGAATTAGAAGCTGGGGTGCATCTTGAAGAGAGAAGCCTAATTCTGAACCTCGGTGATATGTAGAATGTCAAAACTAAGTATAGGAAAGCCTGCACCTCCGAGGCCGCTAATCTCTCGTAATCGCCAGGAGTCAGAGTACATAGGTTGGTGCCAGACGTCCTGCGTCGGAGGTAATCTCCTCACCAGCTGCAGGGGGTTGATTGGAACAGAAGGATAAGCGCCTGCTTCGTGTTTCTGACGTATCTCATTTACTGTACTGGTTTTTGAAAGCTTTTTTCGTATGCTTTTTGGCTTGAGTTTCTGGCTACTAACCTGCCCCAAGCTCTCAGATCCCTAGCTGGGGGCCCCCACAAATGTTTCCTTTCTTCGGTAAGCCCTGAGGCCCCACAAGCGCACAAGACGCAGACCCGTCGCCGGCCTACGCTGCGGTGCAGACAAGCGAGCCGGCGTTTTCTGAGAGGCAAGATGCTGCGAGCGAGGCCTGGAAACTGCAGTGATTGTCCCCCATCACGGGGCCATTTTTCTTTACGACTGAGAGTTTTGGTATTTCCCAGTAGTATACGCTTACGCTTATGACTGTCATGGATATCCTTACCTTCATTTCCTGCCACTCTTACCGTCCTCATACTCTTAAGCACCAGTCCTAATAGTCAGGTGGGCAAGCATGTATTTGGAGTTGGTGCAAAAGTCTTCAGTTGGGATGAGGTTAATTACGTGCCAAACATTCTGGCCCGCGACTGTGGGGAGCCTCTTTTTTTTGAGAGTTGGATTTTGGGGTTTAGGGTATGTGGTCTCCATAACTTGGCCTATGTGTGCGGCTTGTGCATGCCGTCAGGTGGCAGACATACAGTCGCTGCCTTCTGCACGGCCACAAATGTCTGCGCCAGAGGCAAGGCACGTGCAAAAGAATAAGGCAGACACTATGACTACATCCGCTCGATCTCAACTGCTGCCCAGAATGTTTAACCAATCTTTGTAGTGGCTACTTCCTCATTGAACGGTTTTGAGAAATTTCACGGAATTTGCTTGCTAGCTGCTTTAGCTCACGAGAACACAATGATGGATGGCTCTCTCAGAGCACCTGCTATGCCAGCGCCCGATTTATCACGAGAGCAGCATTGCTTGAAGTCATTTTTGCTTAAAGGGTCATGCTATAAGCCTGGAGTAGCGATGCAGACAAACATGAAGTCCACCCAGGCGGGAGGGAAGAAATACGGCGACATCACCCGGGCCTGCAAAGACTACTGTCCTTTTGAACGGGCTTATGTGTGTTTCCATCTGAGTCTCGGGGGACGGTAGGGGCCTTTGCGGGCAATATGTCAACTCTAGCCTGAAACAGGCGTCTGAAGACGCAGGGCCAAGCAACTTGGACTTTGGATAGAGCTCTGTTTTCGGCTTGTTTCGAAGGTTTGTCGCTTTTTTTCCCGATTTGGCACCCAAACTCCCAAGCCCCAACATGTACCATCAATACACTGCACCCAATACGCTGCGAAGCACAAGGCCCTACAGATACAGACGGTGCATCCCTGCCACGGGCATACGCTGCTCTTCAGACCAGTGAGCCGGCATCATCCGAGCGGCAAGATGCTGCGAGCGAGGTTTGGGCATTGAGGTGTAGGGGTTAGGGTCCAGGGTTCAGGGTTTGTGACAATCGCTTGATGTGTCCAATCGAGAATATTCAAAATTATGTGTGCCGCCCCCATTTTTCCACCCAAAAATTTGTCCCTTGAAAGTCTAGCGGGCCGATAAGCGAGTTTCCAAGTGCCCCTGCGTGCCCCCAAAGCATAACTATGTTGTGGGCAGGTTTTAGCCTCTGGCAAAAACTTACAATGAACCCTTAGACCTAATGCGTGTACACAGTGTACCAATTTCGTACTTAAATTCGATAGTGTGTGCAAAGTGTCATGAAAAACGTTTGACACCAGCAAGTCTAGCTCTATGGTGGCTATGGTCGGTCCTGCCATCATTACCAGAGCCTGAATTTAAATGGCTTCCGGCTTTATTTCTCGGGATTCCTTTTCGGATGCTCACCCGGTGTTTTAATAGCGTTGCTGAAGGTGCCACGGATTACCTTGGGCCATAGCAGGATTCTGGCTTGACCGTTGGTAGATTGAGATGTTTGGCTTAGCCGGACATGTTGTGTGCTGCGGTCCCATTCTTTGTACACGGTTGTACCGGTTGTACTTTTGCCGTTTTGGCCTTAGAGTTGTCTTTTGTGATTGATGCTGTTTTTTGAGTCACGCTTGTCCTGTTGATTTGAGGGTGGGTCTTTATGAGGCCAGTAGTATTACTGACGGAAGATGCCCTGAATCATGCTAAGACTGCTAAGAGCTAACATACGCTCAGGTGATGATAAGTGGATTCCTCCATAAATGACAGCACATGTGGGGTCTCGAGAATAGCAGAGGGTATTAAAAACAGGACGAGATTACCCCGAAAAGAGCACAGCACGCAACAAAGCATAAGCTCAGCTCAAATTAAGTAAGAACTGTTGGACAATTCTGCAAGTTGAATGTGGTCATGGTTCAAGAGATGGGCAGGCCTCAGACCCACATGAAGTCCCTTGTTGTGGCTGCTCCCGCATTTCCATAGTTTTCACATTGTTTTTGGGTCAGCTCCCTGGTAGGGATCCTGTTTCGTATGGTGTAAGGGGGCCCAAACATATCCAGACATCCCACATGCGTGACCTTTTGGCTTGGAGAGGTGCCAGACATTCAATCGCTGCCTTCCAGCCGGCCACAGCTTTCTGTGCCGGAGGCACTTCCAGAGTAATGAGACGGAAGAAGGGGGGTGGGGTTCAGAAAAGCACTCTACGTCTCCAGACATGGGAGTCCTGTGCTGAATATTGGCATGCTTAAAGACTTGAGGGTGTATCCTGCATATGGGAAGCGTGTCAAAACTACAGATCCACGGTTGAGGTGCATGAGGTGGTGTCATGAGGATGGTATTCTTTGAGGTATCTGCTGCCAGCAGTGCCGAGAAATGCCATACTCTTGATAGAACTATCCCGTGTGACCTTACAGCTAGTGCGGCCGTGTACAGCTCAAACGTAGGACCCAGGAGCGGCTCAATGTTGTATGACAACATTGTGCAGGGTTTTGGGTTGGTATTCGACGGAAAGCATATGGAGAGACGCTTGATGTAGCTGAAGGCGGGCGCTTGCAAGTTTACAGGAAATTCTGCTGGACACTCATCAAGGCCCAAGCCTCTTATCCGGAGTATTAATGTCGAATTTTGGGAGTTCTTAAGGAGGGCGCGCAGGTACCCTGATTCTAAATGGTCTGCCCTAGGCTGCGGTGGATCAAAGCATTGCAGGCAACTCCTAGCGTGACTTGAGGCCTTGGTATTGCGGATGGGAGGAAATTTTGCACCACTTTTCTGCCTTGTGCCTGACTCTTTGCTGGTGTTTAGCAGGTACAAGGTACGTTTGTTTTATCGGGATAACACTCCCGCATTCCCGACTGACCCAGTAAGGAGTAGCTCCTGCACTTCCTGATGTCTGCCTCCACTGGAGCTGCCAATCGCTAGCCGCTAGCCTAAACTCCAAGCCCTGATTTTGTTTGTCGAGGTGCTCGCAGACGCAGGGCCAAGCAACTTGGACTGTGGCTGGTGATCGTTTACAGGTACGGGCGATGCGGGGTGTACAGGGGCTTTAAACCCTGGCCCTAGCCGATTTAGGGTTTAGCGGCTAAGGTTTACCGATGTTTCCAGGGGGGTTTACAACTGCCCCAGTGGAGTGCAACTTGATAGGGAAGATGCTTGGTCTCGCGGGCTGGGTGCTCCGTACCTTGATGGCGACTCATTCGGTCAGGTTTCCTTGTGGTCGGTATTATTGATCGGAATCTGCACGTGTAGCAGCGTTTTTCTTTCTGTAGCTTTGAGTTGTCATGCCACCCCCAGCTCCCTCAAAACAGAATTAATCCTTGCAACAGCGCCGCAATGTTTTGAGAAACCCAAGTGAGGTCCTACAGACACCGAAGCGCTACACGACAGCGACCCTGGATCCTTTGAGCGGCGAAAGTCCTCAAGCGAGGCTGGCTGGGACTAGAGGGACCTGGAAACCTGCAGCATAAGAGTAGCATTTTAACAGTATAATAGTAGTATAATAGTAATTTAGTAAGAATATAGTTGTATAGCAATAATGTGCTTGTATGAGGGGTTTGGGTTCCGGATTTGGGGAATTTGGGGTGCTAGAATTGATGTTTTTCGAGTTTCAGGGGTACATGGGGCTCTGTTCTTGGTTGTCAAGCTGTCCGTCCTGGGTTGAACCTGGGTTGCTCCGGGGCAATTCATACCTCCTGCCTTTCCATGAATCATTGGCTATACGCGGATCCCTCAAGGTGTTGACCCTTTCTCCAGCAGGATATGAAGATGAGATTACCTCCTGTGGGTTCCTCCCTAAGGGGTTCAAGGAATCCAGCACGATGTGTGTGTTTCAGTTACCAAGTTCTACAACCTCAGTGGGTTTTGATACCTGAAGCCATCATGCTTGGGTACAGTACTCGACCCGCGCCGCCTCAGCTAGCTTCATTGCCTTGGCTGCCGCAGGACGGTTCTTCCTAGCAAGTTCTAGAACTATTAGAGCTTGCTTAAAATCAAGAACCTGCAGGGACCTAGGGTCAAAGAGGAAAGCAAAAGGATTGCAGGGTTACGTCTTGAGGATTATTAAGGGGCGCTTCTCAGAAACTGCCACATTGAGGATTGTTGTGTGCTTCAGGGATAGATAAGGTCACCCATGGTTGTGAAGCTGTCTTAAAGCTAAGAAGGTCAAGTTAGCACCTCCCAAATGAATGGGATGCTTTGTACAAGGTTCGCCCATACACACTACACCCTGAATCCCTTGTATGCATGTTAAGCATCTGGGGGAACATCAGCTTGCAAATCCCAAGGTAAATCTGTTAATTTTTGAATTCATCTTGATGTAGGGGGAGGGGAACAGTCCTTCAATTGGATTTCACGAAGAGGCTATTGTAACTCTCAGTGGCATATGCAGGGTAAACCGCCATTTTTTTTGCATGCCTCTATCTCTACAGAGCGGTGCTTCAGTGCCCACAATCCAATAGGGAGTGAGGTACAAGGGATCATAGTAGTGGTAGTAGTGGTAGTAGTGGTGGTAGTAGTAGTAGTAGTAGTAGTAATTCCCCTCATTGCCCATAAATCAGAAGCCAGGGCACACGTTCAAAACACAGAATTCTTCCTTTTTTATATATGCTCCGAAAAGAACCTTGATGTTGTGCGTAACTAGATAAGCCGCACACAGCAACCTTCAAGAACCCAGAGTTCAAGCCTACTCGGCTGAGGCTCCCGTGGAAACGGAGGACTCGGAACGAATGCTGCTGAGCCTCTCGCCAAAAGGCCAGGTATAAAGGCTCAAGATTTGTGAAGATCCATGACCAATGGGATGAGTCAGCCAGCTCTGGTTGGCTCTGAAAGCTACTTAAGGGCATCAGTCTCTTGGTTCATGAGGAACCTTGCAGGGTCTTTGGGCATTTTCTTGGGCCAGCGTGCGACACCCCGTGGCGCCTCCCATTTGCCCAAGGGAGCCTGTAGAGTAATTAGCGCCTTGTGGGTCATGCAAAGTTTCCTGTAGCTGGTGCACATAGCAAAGACCTTCCGTGCAAGTTGATGCGTTCTTTGGGGCTACATACCAGCTCTGCACCCCAGACCCCAACTCTGAGCCAAAACAGCATCCATGGCATCTGCTCGTGATGTCTCCCCCTTGTGGAGCTTGATCGTAGTGATACTAGGGTTTGTGATGAGTGGCCAACCTTGGGGATGTTTGTGGGTAAGATTCTCACCTGACTTCCGGTAAGCTCTGAGGACATTCCGGGGGCAGAAAGCACAATGGAAGTTGCTCCGCTACTCACTCAAGCACCGCGGCCAACCTCTAATATATTCGTTCCGAATGCCTGGTGTAATCTATGTAGACGCTGGAAGCAACACAATTCATTTGTACAGGATCTTGAGTTCAAAGTTTGATGCCTCAACCCTCAGTGCGTAGAGATCATCGCAACCCGAGGCCAGGACTTTCCTTTAGGTGGAGCGCTAGATGCTCTGGCTGGCCGCTTCCCCCAGTCGCAGAAGGACGGAGCCCAGGATATCGTCAGCTTGGCTTACTTAGAACTCAGGGTTTAGGGGTTACAGTTTTCAGGGTTTGAGGTTGGGGGGTTGGGGGTTCAAGTTTGGGGTTTCAGGTGGAGGGATGGTGCCCGCGTCCTGGGGTGAGCTTCTCAGGTGTATCTGATCTCAGATTTTGTTGGCTGAGGTTTGTAGAGTGGGAGGCGATCTGTTTGTGTGTGCGCGTATATGTATATATATATATAACACACACATACACACACACACACATATATATATATATATACACATAAGAAGCGGCAATTCGGACGAAACCGTATTCAAAGGGGTCAGGCTTACAATTGAAGAGTGTCATACGCATGCAACGGGTACACATCTCTGCATTCTAGAACCTGCCACAGCTGCAGATTAGAAGCTGGCGGTAGATCAAGGTCCAGGTAGGGCCCTCAAACTTGGGTGTCTATGATTCAGGGGCTGCATACAGATTTTGTCAAGAGGATACAGGGTTACATTGCGGCTAGATGTTAGGGCTCAAGGAAGTTTAGCGGCTGTGTGGAGTACACGAAGACTTGAGGTTCAAAATTCCGAAGCAGCGTGGCGCCACAGATATCCTTCTTTGTACAGGTATTCTACTCAAGTGTTCTTGGGTCGGGGTGATCACCTTCCTTATGCCCGCCTGACTGCAAATCGTGTGTGTGTGTGTGGACTGCCACCTACCCACGCTTTTCAAGAGTGGTCACGCTTCTTCTCGCTTTCTAAATCTACTTTCCCCACCCATAAATCTTCGTGTAATTCGAATGGCTACATTACATTAGTCTTGGTAGGCCCCTTCCTTAAATCCAACATTCATGCCTACACGATCTGCGTAGGGAAGGCCTGACCCCAAACCCAAACTCATTCGAGGCACGGTGGCTCCCTGAACCCCCAAAAGCCCGGTTGACAAGAGCAGGAGAGTGAGCTCCGATGGTCTGCGCTTGGTGCCGAGGCATGGTCTAGATCTTTAGGATGTTCAGCGATCTAGGAGTGAGGGGTAAGTATTTGGAGGTGCGGTCTTTGGGGGTATAGTAATTGAGACTCCAGGGATTCAAGGATTCACACAGGGCATTGCAAAGGTATGTTGATTCAAGCTTGTTGGTTCAGGCTTCTTGGGCAATCAGGTGCAGGATCAGGGCAAAGTGTACCTGTCTTTTGTTTCGGAGAGCAGGCTTGGGAATCCTACTGCGAAGCACATAGGAGCCCCTGAACTGTGGACCTGCCATCCATTCGGAAAACCACCCGTTAACCTGTGACAACTGCAACAATCCTTCCAGCTTCTAGTGTAAACTGTAGACACTTCGAGCAATTACTGGAAAGCTTCTCTTTTAGCAAACCCAGTTCTCTATGTGGTGCTTGGGCGCAGTGGGAAAGCAGAGTGGTATAGCATCACAATATCACGTTTCTTCTCTCTGTGCTAATTTGAACTGACAGCCTGCAAAACATCCACCAGCAATCTGTACGAATCCTGTCTATGATCCTTGTATAGCTCCTTTCAAGAGGCAAATCCTTTCTTGAAGTTCCCTTATACATCATCATTCATTGGGCTTCAATCCTGCTGCACGCTCTTCGAAGTCCCTTTGCATCCTTTGAAAGACCTGTCGCACTTGTAACCCTAAGCGCCCAAGCCCTACGTATATCCTAAACCAAGCTGCCTAAGTTATCGGGCCTGCTGATTGAGGGGTAGGGGAGTGAATCCTCAACACAGTACTAAGATGTAGCCCTCTAGTATAAAGGTGCTGGTACCTGTCCACAAACCCTCAACCCTACATGCCCTACACCATTTCAGCATGGCTACTAGGAAACGTTGAATCCCAACCCAACCCCAAACCTTAGGGGCTGCAAACCCTAACCTTCAACTCTTAAACACTCGACCCCCATAACGGTGAGTCACTGCAGGAGTCTGGAGAGGAGGCGACCAGTGCAGCCGCAGATGCTGCCGGCGAAGCAGTCAACTCAGGCTGGGGGGTTATAGTTTCCGGGTTAAGGTTTCCAGTTTACTGGTTAAGGTTCAGGGTTTACGGTCTCAGTGTTAGGTTGCAGAGGGCTTAGTGTTTGGGGGTGGCAGCTTCAAATGGGATTCAGATGTTGATTTGTTTAAGGGTTTCAGGGTTTGGGGTCTAGTGCTGCTTATTAATGGGGCGGTCACTGAATATAGATAATTTCAAGGAGATTCTGCTGGCAGAGATGCGAAAAACTGGGGATGCACCTACACTCCGTTTGAGGCACCAGTACGGGAATTGGAGGAGTCTGATGGGTTCGCGATTCGGATTTCTGGTTCGGGGATTGGCGAGGACAGTCGGGGCGATGGCTCAGACTTTTGGAGCGCAAGAGTCAGCACCAGTTTTTTCAGTGGTTCTAGGACCTAGGAGAGATGAACGGACATTGTAGATTGTTTACAGGATCCTTTTAAGAGTACAACAATATCTTCGCCTTAGTGGTCATGGAGTGTAAGCGTTGGGTTAGAGTCTACGGCTGTGGCCTTGGTTATAGTGCAAGGTGTAAGCTGAAAACGACACCTGTGTTGCCGTTTAGAGCTTCAGCTCTAGCTAAACCCTAAATTCAAAACCTACGACCCAAGACGTGTATCTGGCCTTGATCCGCATGCTTCCTTGGCGGGACTCAAGTAATTAAGTAACTCGGATGAATTTCCCAAAAGCTGATCTCCCCAACAACCCTTCCGGTTTAAGATTTGCACAGCGCTTGGTCCCTGTAACGTTCATAAACGGTCGGCATCCACTGTTTTCATATCCAGGCACCGAGCAATGCGAACCTGAGCCTCATGAGGGCCGGGCGATGGATTCAGAAATGCCGGAGAAAACGAAGTGCAGGGGGACAATTCGGATGGAAGAGTAGCGTAGGTCACATCCCTAAGAGGAAACCGCATCATGAAGTTCTCTGTTCTGAGTTAAAGCTGGCTCCAGCTTCCATGGGATGGGTTTCTTGAGAGATCGGAGTTCAGCCAAGCCAGTATCATCTTCCGCCTTAACAGAATAGAGCTTACAGAGTTCTTCACAGCGCTAAATGCAATTTGAGACGAGTCTGTGAGATTGTTCAGAGTTGGATGTGCGAGAGGCTTTATCGAGGGATTTGGAGATAGTGGGAGTTCTGGTTGCCTCTGCTCTCCAGGAATCATAATCGCTAAGGTCTCCGCCTCTCAATAACGGTTTTCGCAAACCCAACCATTGAGATATGAGCAGTGTCCTTATCATCACTACTGTTATCTGTATGATCACAGAACAGATCATGATGACCTGATATCACAGTTCACCATTCAATCTGGTGGTGTCTTTGCCATTATGATGATGACTACCCCTACGTTTTTCCTACTGCTCCGTGTAAGCTGATTCTTATGGCAGCTTTGTGTTGTAAAGCTAACGCCCAGGACGGCTCAGGAGGAGGAAGATGCCTTTCGGGACATCCTCGAATGGGAGGCCAACGTGAAGGACATACCAGCTCAGGGAGCTTGCGTGGTGGAGGGAGTTGGGGCTCAGGGTTTGGGGAAGAAGCTAGAATCACGTGGGACCTCGAAGCACGGTTTTACAGTTTGGGGAGTTCGTGGTTAGGGCTTTGGGAACCAAGTATCGAGGCTTGAGCACATGGTCGTAGCACTCTTGAAGTCCAATCCCAAACATCGGGACTAGTAGGGGGAAATACCGTATGCAGCTTTTCCTCATGGCTAGTTTGAACAGCCGGCATTCTACATCTGCGGGCCTAGGAGGAGAGGAACCGCAAACTCTAGACCCAAACCCTAAGGCCTAAGGGGGCTGGTAAAATAATGTGTTTTTTTAACTTGAGTCACCGCCGTACGCGCTTATAAGACGGGTGTTTCTGATGGTTACGCAGCTAAAGCCCACTCACTTCGACATCCCCACAAAAGTCAAAAGTCCTTCTGGTAGCTGGGTGGACATCGTGGATCCACGTCTCACAGAACATATCGAGCAGTGAGTTCTTACGCGCTCTACTGCAGGGAAAGACTATCACTTGGCTAGATCCACGACCAACAAGCCGGTACACCTCACCAGCTCTCAAAGCCGAGTTTATTCGGGCAACAGCTAACAAGGACCCTTCTTGGTTGATCAAGCATCTAGGGGAAGACTAGAAATCGCAAATCCTGACCGTTGACCAGATAGTGCTTTTCCACGCCAGCTCCTGCCAATCCCCTTCCCCCAATCACACACATCTGCCGATGTGTTAGGGGAGCTGCAGCGATTTGCTCAGGGTTTTTCAGGATAATTACGGCAGGGTTGCGGGGGATGTGCATGATTAGGGGAGGCTGTTGATTTAGCAAGAGTTAGGCAAATTCCGCTGGCTCCCATGGAATTTCAAGATGCAGGACCCTTGATCGATTTCCATGTCCGTATCAAAGCATCAAAGCACTTGTTAGGGGACCAGCGGACTGTTAAGGCCTCACAGAACCGTCAAGGGTTTGCGTTTCAGGGCATTAGAGAGTGAACGTTCTACGCTCATACGCGGAGTTTTGCCTGCTGGCTTTACGTATTGCATGTCATAAACCCCTACCGCTTAGAGCTCTGAATCCGCTGTATCAGTTGATCAAAGCATTGCTTCGGTGGGTGGGCCCACTAAGCCATGAGCAGCAATGCAACATGGCAGCTGGGCTGCAATGACCCTGAGAGGCATAAGGACGTAACCATCATCGTTTCAGATATCAAACACTGAGCTTTCAATGACTGTGACGTTAGAGGCCATGGTAACTACCCTAAAGCCCCAAACGCCAAACTCTGCACCGTGACTTATGTACTCGGTGAAGCATAAAGGTTTGAGATTACTGCCGCTTGAGAATCATCAAGTGATGGTCGAGTGAGTGTTTCTGCTTCAGGTGAGAGATTTGGCGGTGCAGGGCCTGTAAAGCTTTTGTGGGCTTATTGGGTTTAAGGAAGTCTGTGGACATTGAAGGTATTGCAAACAAAGTCGCAAAGCAGTGTACAAGTTAGAGTGTACCTTCTCTCATAGTTTTTCTTTTATGCTTGACACTGGTGTTTGTTCACATGCCGCATGCCCCAAACGCATTCTCTAACCCTCTAGTGTCTGTTAATGTGCCTGCGTGGACTTATAGGGGCCCACAGAGTATTTTTGTCGGGATCCACTCCCTCATTCCTGGTCAAGACGAATGCAGCTCTCAGACATGTGGATTTCCCAGCTGAAGAATCTGTTGCTACGAACCTACGACATGTTACCTGCCCCTTGAATCCCGAAACTGTACAAGCCCTTTACAGCTGGCTGTCTGGGGCTACATGATGTGCAAGGAACAAGGCCCCTATATTGGAGCTTTTCAAAACAACCCCTACATCATTCCTATGTGGGCTGTGTTGTTGTGCTACATCTCCCACTCCTTGCGTACCAAGTCTTGAGGCGTGAACGCAAAAAGCATTAAACCCGGTAGCCCCTGTTCACACAGCACTGAACAGGTTCTTTCCACACAAAGAGCGTAGGGCATATGCAGAAGGTCTGGGTGATGGTTGTGATAGCTCGGAGCTCGGGGCTTGCAGTAGGTCAGTGGAACCAAATCCCTGCACCCAAGATCGGATGCATCACGTAGATCTCCAGATCCTTGAAGCAACCCTGGGGTTCAATCATAATTCCCTTCTACATGTTCTCCTAAGCAGTCTTTACTATTTCAGGGTTCCTGGGGATCTACCTCGCCACAATCCGAACGTAGTCACAGCCTCAAATCGGCGCAAGCCGCAAGCCCACAGCTCCCGAAGTTGGGAAGGTTCAAAAGTCCCTCAACCACCTGGACCCGAATCCTATCCCCAAGCCTCAGAAACCCTGCCCGCATGCCCTCCATCCTTGAACGCACGCACCACGAAGTTCCTCTGAGCCCTACACCCAAATCCTCAAAATCCCAAAGCCACTCAATTCTGAACCCTGAAGCTTTAAATCCTGAATCTACAAACCCTCAACTAAACTCCTCATATTTTGTACCATGACTCGAGCACAAGAATCCTGGTACGTAGGTAAAGAAATACGTATACTTTTGATACTGATTACAGTCAACTGGATCCTTGATCCTGAACCCGGAACCCTATGTACTCATACTAAGTAAAAGTCCTGCGGTCCCAGCTGCAGTCTACTGGATCTCCTCCTACTACTCCATCAGCCCAAACGTACTGGTTCCAAGTAAGGAATAAGGAAATCTAATCCCTATCTGAGCTACCGTCAATATTAGCCTTTTTAAGCAACCCTTAACAGTGGACAAAAAGGGTTCCTCGTGTAGTTTAGTATAGCCCGTAACAGAGTCCTTAATTAAGAACCCATGTCCATTAATTTTCTGGGTAATAGTGACTGTAGCTCATATGATCCCAATATACATATATATATATACACACACACTACATTCCCTTCTTCCCTGCCAAGAACCAGTAAGATTACCCCCATCAGCCCTCAGCAAGGTTCATGGATGCGGCTGCCCAGGGCGGGGGGACCCCGGCCGGCACTGCCAAGGCGCAGCTTCCCGGGTTTTATGTGGGCAATAGTCTCAACTCCTTTGGGGTTTAGGGTTTGGAGTTTAGGGTTTAGGGTTTAGAGTTTAGGGTTTAGGGGGGGAGGGGGAATATATAGGGGAGTATTATAGGGGGATACTTGGAGTTTAGACTAAAGCTCATGTAGCAGCCTGGATGATTTTCGCAAGACTATCTCCTTGAATCCCCAATTTGGTGATAGTATCAAGCTGCAAATAGCCTCTAGTTGATCGTAGTTTAGCCAAAAGCCCTGCTCTACTTACTATGTGGGCCTTTGCAGAAGGGCTTTTCAGGGCTTGGGTGTCAGACGGTTTCTATGGAGCCTGGGGCTGAGGGCTTAGAATTTCGCGAGTTTTGCTTGGCGGTTCGGTGTTTTCAGCTTTCCGGCTGTATGTTCAGGACGTCTGCACTTCGGGGTTTATGGGCTTGGCGTTTCGAGCAGAGAAATTAAATGGTTTGGCTTTTGCGCTTCAGTTTGTGGTTCGGGGAATCTGGTCTTTGGAAGGTGTTGCGAAACTCTTCATCGAAGGGCATCACGCAGGGAAAATATGAAGTTTCGTCAAGGTGTGCGACATGGGCATGTGCTTGGAAACCAAGAGCATAGGGCTTGTATAAACCATAGGATCAGGGTCCCATGTGGGGATTTGGGAAGGAGGCCTTGGTCGCTCTTATAGCTGCAGAGTCTGTTGAAAGGTATTACGGGGGACAGTTAAGAGTTTGAGATAAAACCTTGACCCTCCAAGGCCTTTATTGTCAAGAGACCCCAGGGCAGGTGTTGCTCAGCAGCTTGGTCGAAGGTGCCCAAAACATGTTCTCTAATGGATTCCTGATTTGCGATGTGTAGGGCATTGTAAGTCTTTAGGGTGCTAGTAGGGTCAAATTACTGGGGCACGCTGGGGAGAAGTGGACCGCAGAAGGGCAAGGCAATTCCAGCAAAAGCTGCAATGCATCCACCATGTGCAAAGCTATTCGGCTCAATGATCTCGCTCGGTGGAAAGATGCGGCTTTTGAATTCAGGATTGTGGGTTCCAGTTCCTGTGGGACGAATCTTATGCGGGTGTTCCATTGCTGTTCTTCTTGCTTAATTGGAGGGATTCTAGGACCGCAGACAGGTGTCCCCATGCATCTCTATGTCAAGAAGTTGCCAGAGTTCGAAGCTATTTGCTTGACTCTAGCCCAGCTTCCATGCAGAACTGGTGCCTTTTCAAGGCAAGCTAAGCTGTCCCCTCTTCAAAAGTTCTTTTGACCCAAGCCCTAATCCATAAGCCATAAGACCTAAACCCTCATAGCTCAACCACCAAAGTCGCACTCATAAAACGAAAACCTTCGGGTCTCATCGGAGCTACACCAAGCCAATCTATCAACCTTTACAATTTGCCTAGACTTCAATTCCTTAAGCCGTGGCAGGTGATCACGAACGGCCTGATGGCTGCGACACTCAGAGCTGGCGATAGGCTATAGGGCTCCGCTGTTTCTATGTGAGTTTCTCAAACTTCTGGTTTCCTTGTTGCAGGCCCCTAGACTAAAACAGGAATCCGATTCTTGGAGGATGTATAGAAGGTGTGCACCTATTCGGAGAGATGCACGTTATGAGGTCTGCTGACTGATCGTGTTGTCTACGAGGTGGTTGCTCCTCTTGTCAAGCTGGACAAGCCTAATTGGCTTTTGGGAGTGGATCGAACTTTTGAAACGCCAAAGGCTGCTCCTGGTAAAAATTATTCATGTAGTTGCACCGTCAGTCCAACTCGCTGGACAATGAGCACCAAGCCAGAAAGCCAAAAACCCACAGTCCCAAGTCCTAAACTTTGAAACCTAAGCCGCAAAGCTTAAACCCTGAAGCCTGAGCCAAACAAAGAATCCCAATCCATAAGCCCAGCCCCATATCCCAGACCTTGAGACCCAATCCTGACCCTTAAATGGGAAGGGAGACCCCTTAAATCTAATTCTATTGCTTGTTTTTTCAATCCTAAAAGTGACCCTCAAAGACGGGACTCCTCACCTTTGGAACCCTCTGAATCCTTCCCCTCCTAGGCCCAGCCTGAAGAAGTGCGGCCGCCGTGGACGAAAGGTCGATCCGAAGCCGCCTGGGGCCCTACAGTCAATACTAGTAGGGGTAATATTGGGATTATATTAGGGTTATACTGGGCTTATATATAGAGGTCTATAGGGGTTAATGATGGGGAAGATTCTTTTACGTGCTCTGCTTGGGGATTGGGGGATTACGGCAGACAGTTACGGGCGTAGAAGTTAGGATGGGGAATCTACCGGCCTTTCAGGAAGGGCGTCTTCTGACTTTTGTTAAGGTTCATACTGCGCACATGGTTTTGGGGGTGGGCATGCAGGGTTGTTAAGGTTCCAAGGATCGATAGAGCGGGTGACTTCATAGGGTTCTTTGACGCACTCGTGTTGAAGGATGAGTAGAGGAGTCAATGTAGGTATTCTCTCAGAAAAGCATGAGATTCTTAAATATTTCTTGAGCACATGAGTCGTTGTTTCAGTGTCCAGCTCAGTTTGAGAGATTCCAATTGGCTGCATCTGACATGAGGGAATCCTTTTCTGGCGCTGGGCAGAAGCCGAATGGGGGGGGGGTTCGCAAAATAGTACGTCAAGTTGGGCTCAAGTAATATTTGGAAGGTACATCTTGAATTCTCCTACACCATATTATGGGAGTCTCGCGACATAGATCATCCCTCACAGGAGCACCTCCAATCACTTTAGGCTTCCCCGTGTATGCGCCCCATCTCGAAGGACCTGGCATTTCAAAGATGTGAGCCTCCCTTGGACCCACAAAATTTTGATCCTGATTGTTGTCAGAGTGGCTCCTGGATGGGATTCTGTTTTCTTTCGAAAACGTGCCTGTAGATACACCCTCCCCCAAAATAACTTCAGGATGAATCACAGGGTCAGTTCGGGTAAGGGTTGGGGGGTTCAAGGCCAGACAGCCAAGATTCAGAGGTTCTGAAACAGTTGGTAAATTCAGCCCTGAACCCTGAGTTGGGCTCGGGGGGGGCGCATGGTCCTGGTTGGATGCTAGATGGCAGTTCTCTAGAGGTTAGCGCATTGAGAGCTCCAACAGCTGTCGGCCTGCAACCTTCAATTCAAACCTAACATAGTTGTTCATCCCTGAGCCCTCAATCCATCAAAACCTCGGTCAACGCATTTCTACCCAAACAAAGCAGATGCGAAGGAGATCTGTGAGATTGTGACGCAGTCGATTTGCCACTTAGCTGCAGACCACAACCCGAAAAAGGAAAGCATGCGGAATCCTTTCAAGAAGTGTGGATGCATCCCAAATGGGTTTTAGGATCTAGGCTTTACGCACTTGTGGGTTAGGTGTTTTGGGATGCCTGGGAATGTGCGACGAAAGTGCTTGGGTGTTACAATGTGTTTCAGCATCATCACTCCAAGGAGGCGAGAAAAGAGCCCCCCCAAATGGTGTGTAGGGCTTTTCCGAAAGGACATGTGTAGAAAACCGGGATCTTGTCTTAAGGTGTCATAATGATGGGCAAGGGAGAATAACAAACACTAAATGCCTTAAATCTTCAGGTCGTCAAATACAGTCTGTCACCAGGTCCCTGGGGAAGCATTTCTTGGAGTCCTTGCCACGTTGATGTCCCGTCGCTGGGCATCAGGGTGCCTTACAGCCTTTTACAGCTCTGTATTGCTTAGAGCAACACAAAGCAATGAGAAAGGGAGGAGCAGCAGCAATAGCGACACTCAAAAAGTGATGGTAGGCAGAACAGGAATGGGATTGTGCGAGGGCGGCTGCAGGGCTTTTACCTGCAGTAAGCTCTGACTCGACTACATTCAAAGATCTATTGCTGTGGGCCCCGAACATTTGCTGTAGCGACAAGAGACAGCTTCTTTTTTGTGGGTTCTGTTTAGTGTTGCTGCGATTCAGAGCAGCATGGAAGACGAAGGAAGCTCCAAGCCTCAGGTGTGCAAAAAGCTTCATGGAATGAAAAGGCGAGACTTTGCAAACTTTCACATCATCTTGCCTTAAGCCTTAAGCACCAATTGGAAATTCACGAATCGGAAAGAGAAACTGGTCCAAATCCAAATCCCCTTCTATGCTTTTGGGAGTTTTCCTGCTTGCCATCCTCAGACTCAGGCGAGGCGGTAGAGGCTTCGTATGTCGTCAAGGCACACTTTGGCTTCTTAGGATGCGAGGATTACGTTTAAAGATTGAGGCTTCTAGGGAGATTAGGAGGAATGGGTTTGGAGGGGGTGCTGATTTGGGTTGGAAGTTGCGGATTAGCTTCGGTCTTTTCCTGAATTGGGCTCAGGCGTGCCATTTAGGCTTTCAGGGCCTCTTGCCAGGGCAAAAGACACAGAGCTTTCAGACTTCAATCGAGTAGGATTTAGGGTTTGGGTTTGAGATCCCTGTGCTGTACACTTGGACTTGAAGCCCTTAACCCTTTCCCCTGTTCACCCTCAAATGCTTCAGCTTCTCAACCTTAACACCTCATCTACGCCATCAACTCTGGACAGTATACCTCCACAACCAGAAACTTGGTATGTTAAATCCCCCTCGTCTGACTGGGTCATCCGCCTGCACTTACTGCAAGTCTTGCCCAGTGGCCCTTCAGAGGACTACATGGATGCCGAGCGTGCGAAAGGTCGAAACTTCGACGACATCTACAGTGAGGTTGGGCGAGCGGGGGTTCGGGATTAGGTTGCAGGGTGCGTTTTGTTTGTTGTGGTGTTCGGGCTTCAGTATCCAGGGCCAAGGGTTATGTGTTTGGGTGTACGGTTCAGAGTGCAGAGCGGTTGTAAGGACCTGGTGGTTCGAAGGAAAAGCGTTCTCCTAGGCAGGCCTTGTGAGCGTCTATGTTTATATACTTCTGGGTGGGCCGTAGGTGTAGATGTTACCTTGAGTGGTGACGGCATCCAGCTACCAAAGCGGTAGCTTCGCGGATGCCATCCTGAACGAGTCTCACCCTAAAGCCCTTCATACTCTAGATCCTTGCCCCTAACCCTTTTATTTGCAAGTCCTACACTCCATCTGTCTAGAGGTGTAGGCAACTAAGCCTGTTAAGACATGCTCTGATCCTGCCATGCGTGTGCTCGTGAACTTCTTTGCGATCTGGAGAGAGTGATACCATACAAAAAGGCTCCTAGCCGCGGGTCATGCATACCTTTAGCTACACAGGCGCTCTGTGATTCTCCTATACTTTCCTTCAAAACAACCTAGTCCATCTCTATTTGCGACTGTTCCCCGGGGTTTATCTTCCTGGTCTTGTGGCCCATAAAAGATTCCATTGTCTTGAGACCATGACTTCTTCTCGGATTTTCAGAGAGATTGCGGTCTGTACCAGATTTTTCGGTAGTGGGCCGTAGGCTGGTATCTCCAAAGTCGAGAAAAACGGTGCGATTGATATACAATGTGCCGCATCCTTTTGGCGGTAGACTCCATTCCATCGAGAACTTTCTTGGCTACCGTTTTTACAGAACCTGGGAACAGAAAGCACACCCCTTGTTTAAAGGACCCTCAGAAGAGGAGCCGCAGTCCCGATTGCCTTCAAAATCAAACCTTAGGCCTATATTCTCGTGAAGAGACTGAGTAGAGTTCATACGAATCGCCGTCCAATTTGGAATTGTCACCAATCTGCTGCTACATGCCGCTGGAGCATTTGAGGCTTGAGCCTGCAGAATCTCTGGATTCTTCGGTTGAAGGGTTTAGGGTTGGCAGCCTTGGATCTAGAGTCTAGGGGGAGGAATCAGCGCACGTCTGGTTGTTTCCTGGCGCTTGATTGTTTTTGAGGACGAACCGTGCTCGCAATGGACATAAATCTAAAGCCAAACCTCCAGGCTTCGCCCACTCAGCGCTGATGTAAAAACGGCAGATCCCAACACAGAAGCTCAGCACTGCAAGCCTTCAGACTCACCACAACACCTCCAAACCGTATACCTTGAACCTGAAGCCCCAGATATAGCAAAGGTTTAGACCTTGATTCAGAGGTGTGCCTCAGAGTCCCAAAGCCCAAAGCCCAAAGCATGCCAAATTGAACCCGGAACCATACACTCTGCAGCCTCCAACCCCCTAAACCGCAAAGCTGAATCGCCATGTCGGCGCCCGCGTTCGTGTTTTATGAGGCCGGTTCGTGTGAGTGCATTAATAGTATAGTGTACCTACTTCCTGTGGCTCGGTCTGACAGGCTGTGTTTGGGTGATTTGACAGCATGTTCCGAGTGATTTGGGTCTCAGCTTCTGCAAGGTGAGTAGTGTTGCAGGTCCAGGAGTGTCCCCTCCTGGTTTGCTAAACAGCCTTTCTCATAGTAAAGTTTGCATGGTGCCCGAAAACAATGATCCTCATTCGTCAGCCTCCCCACCCAAAGAATGACCTGACTCCCTACATGCAATGCTGAGGAACTTGTTTTGAGGGAGGGAGTTTGAGTAAGCAGCGTTCTGGGGCGTGACATATACGGGTTTCTGAAATTGGTGGGTCCCTTTTTAGGGGGTTCCCGAGAAAGGATCCAACAATTCCGGGCACATAGATTAGACAGGACTGTTCCATTTTCACCGCTACCTAGATCGACAGCTTGCAGCGAAAGTCCGCAACACTTACAGACATGCTTGCCATAAGACCATCTGGCGCTTGACTCTCAAAGCATGAACCTTGCTTCTTCCTCAGTTGCGGCCTCGAGCCTGTCGTGAAAGGAACCTGAAGAAGATGTTGTAGACGATTGGAGGCATAGTCCTGCAGACTGGTCAAGACTCCGAAATGGTTGTTGGGAGGGCACTACTTGTTGAGCAAGTTGGATAGTCTGCTCCGCACACTGCCCCACCTAAGCAACCACCTTCCCAATTAGCACCGTATGATATTGCTTATATATATGAGGCAGTGAAATCTTCCTGAATGTTCATGAAGGGGCGGTAGGGGATTTTATTGGAGGGCAGTTTCTGCAAAATATCATGACTCCTTATGACTCCCTGGTGGCATCGCAGGAATTTAGGGACTGAAGCCCTAGATAGGCCCTGGAAAATCCTCCTTAACACCATACTCTTAGTAGAATCCAGTTATCACGATACACCAGGACGAGAAGACCTTGACAGCTGAAGCGGCATCCCCTTTTGGGAAACCCTCAGATGACCCATCCCCAGAACTCAAAAAGCGTAAGCCCTAAGACCCGAAACCCCCGAGCCCTGGAGGCATGAACCCAACACATCCCTACAGATCCCCATAACCCTTAGGACTCATCCCAAGGCCCTGGAGGCCTTCGTGCGTAAGGAGTGGTCTCGCTGGGGGTTTCGCGGCTCGGAGCCAGAGACGGAATCTGTGGGATAAATCGTGAAATTTGGGTAGACTAAAGCTTCGAAAATCTACGTTGGTACCCGATGACTATCACATATGACTATAGCGTCATTTTGGGGGGTTGGGGTTGCCTAAACCCATTCAATGCTTGAGATTGTAAGACTTCTGGCTTAGCTGAAGTCAAGAAATCCGGTATGGATTACAGTTGATTGCAGTCGTTCAACAACCATACCTCATGGAAAAAAGAGTACAACTGCCTCGATTGATTGCAAAATAGCTAGCTTGAAAGCATACTTGTGCTGGGTCATAATTGGTTTACTTACTAGGGCGTTACGAAGTGGCTGGCTGAAGCGCATCCCATCTAAGTCCGGGCTTCTGTAGAAATCCCCGTTCATAATCCCTCAATGCGTTCATATTCCCCATGCATCCCAGGGTCCCTAAACATTACCCCCTGCCTTTTTTCGAGAACTGCCCAAGTAAGGAAAGATCGAAGTCCGGGCTGCGAACGCTGAAAAGACGCTCGTCAAACTCGGTTTTTTCGAATATGTTTTTTGGTTTTTTGGTGGGCTTTGTAGGATTTGCGTCGGGATTTTCAGCAGAGATATGGTGATGTAGTGATATTCTCAAGCATGAGCGCCTCCAGGGGTTTCATTGCATGATTATTTACAACACTAGTTTAAAGTCCGAATTGCCACAGAGAAGACCACCTGCCCTCAAACGCGATGACCCAGAATCAAAATCATGCTGCAAGTTCAAGCTCTTATCCACCCCCTGGCCATGCACCCTTTGCAGACAGTCCTTTGTAATTAGCTTATGTGAGAGTATATGCAGAAAAGAAGCTTCATCCTTTATGCCTCGAACATTTCGAGCAACTTGAGAAAGCAGCAAGCGGTCTGCACGTTCGAGCAGCCAAGTGCGCACGTCGAAATCATCGCGGTACTGCTGAACGTGCGAAAAGCTTTGGGCGAGAAGGGTTGCGAAGTCAAAAGGCTGTGACGTGGCTAAGTCTGGATTTGAGGGATTTTGAGGGCTTAGGACCATAAACCCCGGTTTCGGCCGCTAGGCTTGAAGTCTGGGCCTTTGACTTGAATGAGCGGCTTGAGCTTTGAAATTACAGCTCCGAGCCGAAAAAGCCAGCAGTTTGCTGCGGATGATGCGCATTGATGGTACAAGGATTATTCAGGAACATCTAGGCGCGATCTGGAAGGTACATGGGTTGCATGGGTTGAGACTTTGGACTTCAGCCATTAACGTCACTAAGCACACCGCGCGCTGGCTGCTAGCAACGCTCGCCTTGAGCTTTGCCACTGCATAATGACCACCGTTAAGGCCCCATGTTCTCTACATAGATATGGTATCCGGTACAGCAAATAGTCCTCCACACAATAGTGCTGACTCCTTGGCATTTCATCTCCCGGTGGTGCCTGCTGAGTTGGTAAATAGACGAGAGGCCTGCTTGCCACGACATGAACCTAAACCCACGGTTTGTGAGAGCCATGAAAATAGAAGGGGATGACGGGTCAGGGTCCGCAAATTGGATTTGGCGCTTGCGCGTTCAGTTTTGTTGTCTCTTCCAAGCTCCCAGCCCAAGAGTTACTTTGCACCTACCCTTTCAGATGCGCCAAGGGTTTCGAACCCCTTCCAGATGTCGTGAGCAAGGGAATGGATGCCCTTGGAGAACCTAACACACACTGCCCACATGGCCCAACAGCTTACACCTGGAGATGACCCCAACCCAGACCACACACCAAAAACTAAGGAAGCCAAAGCGACCATCACCAAAACTGGAAATCCCACACCCCGAATCCGAAGCCTGAAACTCCCCCTTCTAAAGTCTCAGCCTAGGCAAATTCGAATCGAGCAGCACTTTGGCTTCAACCCAGGCACAACTTAGTATAGCATCTGATGGGGTTTGTCATCGAATATGGGCGCTCATGCAGACAATATTTCTTGGCTTCGGGCTTACGCTGCCTGTCTTGAGCACTAGTAGGAATAGATTGCCATTGAAACTCCTACAATCGATAAAAAATTGGGGGCTTCGCGGGGATCCGTTTTCGTTCAGTCTTCAACAGTAATGCCCAACGACTGGTTGCCAAAGCATAGTGATCATTAAGGAGATAAAGACTTTGTGGGTTTCCGGCCATATCCTGATCCTGGGGAAGTCAGCATCCGGTGTCACATTGAGGATTTGTCAAGGTCTGAAACGTACTCTGTTTAAAGCTGATGATTTGGGAGGGTTTGCGCGTGGTAGCTGTAGGCGTCGGGGCATCAGTTCCGAATGAGTGGCACAGGCCTGGTTTTCTTGCTTGCGTGTATCTGTCCTGACAGCAGGCCTAGTTTGGTGAACATTATCTGTCACACTAGTGGAATGGATGCCCGTTGTACTGATGAATTTCGTGCTGATGTTGCTCAGCCTGCTTCCAATGCTGCCTTCCTAGAAAGAAAATACAGGAGATGAGGCTCTCCAAAGGAAGCACGGTTCCACTTTCCCTAAGCACATTAAACTTCTGCTCTTATTGCAGGCTCCCCACCGAAGAACCACTTCGGACCTTTGCG